TTATAATTCTTTCACTTTTATTTTTAACACAAGAATAAAATCAAATAGTAGATTGTTAAAAATGACAAATAAATTTATTAAATTAATTTGAAAAATTTTTATTATTAAAAAAATAAATTTATTTACTGCTTTATATTTCCTATTTTTATCTACACCTTTTTTTCATTTTTATTGCACTAATTTAGAAAAAATTAAATTACTTTGTAAGACTAATAAATGAAAATAAATTATTTATTTTTTTTAAATTTAATTTTTTAACTTTATTTTTATTTATTTATTATATTAAATTTATTATATTTTAATAAAATAATTTTTAATTATTAATCATTAATGCCCTCTATCCGTTAATGGATTTTTTTGTAAAGTGCGTGCTATCACGCTTCCCTAATTATTTTTACTTCCGTGTCCTTATTTAAATTTTGTCTAACTTATAGCTTCCGAGAGTTTTTCAAAAGCTAGTTTTCTTGTGTTCTACAAATAGAATTCATTGTGTTTTGGTTAGAAAAGAATAATAGGAGGCAAAAAAGCAATTTATAAGCTAGTTAAGCCAAAAAAACTTTTTAGCCGCTGCGGAGGATGCCAGGCATGTCAGCGTTCGACTTCTGCTACCTCATTGCTACAGCCGTAAACTAATGAAAATCAGCAATGCATCTGCCTCCTTTCTCAGAAACAAAAAATTATTTTGTTGTAGACGTCTTAATTAATTTAACTTGACAAAATAAATCAATTATTTTAATTATCGAATGTCAGACCTTCCTTCATGTAAAATCGAGCGTACTCTTAATTGAATTGATTATTGAATTTATTGCCCTCCTTCAATCATTAAACATAATTTTTAATTTAATTAAAATTTAAATTTTTAAATTATAATTAAAAGGAGAAAAGAGATCCGTTGAAATTAATTTTATAAGCCTTTTAAAAATATTTTATCAAAATTAAAATTTAAAAATTTAATTTTTAGAGTTTCAATGAAACTTTTTATATTTTTATTACTATTTATGTTTTTTATAAACACACTTTCAACGACGAATAGTTTTAATGGCACTAATTTGAAGCGAAATAATCTAAAAGCTTTTAATTCTTTTAAAAAAAGAATTTCATGTAAAGCTACAAATGGAATAAAACCTTCGATTATACCTTTAAGAAAATCTAAATCTGAAAGAAAAATATATCAAGGAGAAAATAAACAAGAAAATTCTGGTAAAATACAAAAGTTCATGTGAATAATTAATATTAGGTATTTAAGGTTCTGAGGTAGCAAATACTTCATTATCAAGCCCAGAACAACCAAAATTTAAGAAACCTCGAAAAAATTCGATTTCCAAAGAAGAATTGGAGAAAACAATAGAAAGAATTGATAATTTAAGTATAGAAAGTAATATAGAAAAAATTACTTGTGGTTAGTTAGATAATTTTAATAAGTTCCTAACTACGAGAATAGAAATTTTTTATTTTTTAAAAAACAGCCGAGGGGTCGGAGTAACAAAATTTACTTCTAATCTGTTTCCTGGTCAAAAAATTCAGGGGTTCTAGTATCAATTAACATTCCTTTTAGGGAGTTATTTTGGAAGAAAAATGTTATTAGTGAATTATATATAACATCTAGCAGTACATGTGCTTTCTGCGATATGATTAAAATAACTTCTTGTAAATAGAGATAACCCCATTCATACATAGTTTTAACGCTTAATGTGTTCGCATACTCTCGAGCTCTAATAAAAATTTATTCTAGCGTTTTCAAAAGAAAAAATTGAAGAAATATTTACCATGATAAAAAAAGAAAACAAAAATATTTCACGAGAATTTATTATTAAATTCAATATTTTATGCAATTCGGAAACAAAATTTAACAATTTTGTTGATTTAGTAAATTATTTATTGGAGGATGAAGTACAGATGAATAATTTAGAAAATAAATTAAAAAATTTACTTGAAAATGTGAAAAACTTTCGTTCAAAAAATTTCAACGAGAATGAACAATCCAGTAAAATATTGAAGGAAATAACATTGATATCTCAATTTTCAACATATAATGGTGTTGAAGTGAAGGTTGCAAACGAGGCTTTTGATGATATTATTAAAGAAATGGTTGCTAATTTAGTATTAAAATTATAGTTATACATCGGTCCGGGCTCGGAACGATGCTTCGCGTAAAGCGAGTATTTTGAAAGTCCGGTTTTAGTTTTCGAGGTTTAAACTCTGAAACTCCGGCCAGTTTGAAGTTAAAAAATGGATAGAGGGCCCGACAATTTGAAATGTTTAAATTTAGTTTCACAAATAACCTTAAGAAAATAATTACTAAAATTATATTTTTAGGAAGAGATGGAAGAGTTTCAACTAGTTATAAAATTTTTGCGAATTCTTAACTTTTGTGCTACAATAAAACATTTATTTGTAAAAACTAAAAGAAAGATATCATCACAATTTTGTGTTAATTATGTATTACCCAAATCAAGAGATGTTTTATATTCAGTTGGGTTAGGATTTAATTTTGGGGAATTTCAAATTAAGAAGGAGGAAAGTATAAATGAAAGTGAAACTGGCAGTAAATTGAAAGTATCTGATTGGTTAGTGCCAGAAAAAGTTGTAGAGAGAAAGAAAAAAGCTAATTGGAAACCAAAATTGGAAATGATTAATGAGGAATGAAAGTGATGGAAGAATGAAAGATGAAAGAAATGACAGAAAAAAGTGAACAAAAAAATTTAAGCTAAAACTACCTATTTTTAATTTTGTGATGAGCGAATTTCCTTCATTTTATATGTTTATTTTTGCCTCTTGAAAAATATAAATCCAAGACTTTAATTAAATCATTAGAGTAACTAAGTTGAGCGTTACTTAAAATGCCGGGATTAATTATCATACGCCAAACGTCCCGGAACAATAAATTTGGAGTCTTATATTTCATTAAAATTTATTTGTAATATGAAAGCCAAGATATTGACAACTGAAAAATAAAGCCCCAGACATTTGGCAATAAATTAAAAGTGCATTAATCGACTTTAAATAAAAAGTACAATTTCTTAATTAAATTGCCTAGACTTAAAATGGCTGCACTTTCCAAAATTTATTGAGTAAATCCCGGCATTTTAATTGCTTTGATGTACATTAAAGAGAACCCGAATAAGTCGGTATTTTTCCTTTGAAAATTTTTTTAAAAGGGCAAATATTATTTTAGATTTTAATTTACATAAAAGCAATAATAAATTTAAGTATTTTCATTTAAATTTTTATTTATTAAAATAAACTAATTTTATTAATGGTAATTGGCCATTCTACCATTTCCCCATAAATTAAAGTTAAAATTTCATATATGTAAATATAATAATATGAGCGTAATTAAAAGTGATTACAAACTGTCTCATAATTGTCGTATGATTGTCAGATTCCAAAGTTTTATTCCAGGGAAGCAAATTTCACATTATATTCAGAGGCATTTCTTTGTTTTTTTTTGTTTGTATATCAGCAAAATATTATAATTATAAAAAATAATTATAAAAATATTATAAAAAATATATAAATTTACTTTTTAGCTTGATAAATGAAGAGTAATTTAAATATTCTCCTTTCATTTTTCATAATTCTTTTAGTTTCCCTATTTGAAATTAATGCTGCGGATTCATGTGAGAATCCCTGTGTTGACAACCATCTTAAAGAAGAATGTAAAGGAAGTATGGAATATTAATTTATTGAATTAATCTTGAATCAATTTCAGTTTATGACGATGACAAACAATTAGCACAACACTATGTAAACACTTTCTTTGGTGAAAATGAAAAAGATTTCCTGAGAAATCTTTCAGGAATTAATATAATTATATGGCATCGAAACATTGATTATAAATTAACTAATAAATCAAAATGGAATAAAAACGCTCAAAAATTTAGAGTTTGGGCTCTCGAAATTTGGGAAAAAATGCAAGATGAATTTGACAAGCATTATTGTTATTTTTTTGATAAGGATGTTAATATAGAAGATTTGAAGTCTATAAGCAAAAAAGTTCCTAAACTTTTTGATAACATTTTTGATATAATTACTGGATTAAATAATAAAGCTTCGATAAAAATTAACAAAGATATCGAAGGAAGCACTTTTAAGGAGAACTTTAAGGTTTGGCATAAAATTATTCTAACTATCAATTATAATTGAAAACATTATCTATTATAATTATCTATTAGTTCTTTAACAATAGGGATATCTACAAGGAAGAACACCCTTTAACCGAGTTCACCGAGTAGCGAATTCCAAAATATCAATCTTTATTCTAAGTTAAAATAAAAATAATTTTTACTTTAAAAATTAATTTTAAGAATAAATTGCGAAGTTTAAATGACGACTTATACAAGATAAAGGATGAGGAAAACGATATTGAATCTTTGATTGATAGGATGAGTGAAGCAAGATATAGTATTTTCGTAAAATTGCTTCAAAATGGTGACTTGGACAGTAATTTTGTCACACAGTTTTTTCAGGGTTAATTTTTGTATTTTTTAAATTCCGAAATTATCGCATTAAAAATCAAGATCCGTTAAATTTTTCCTATATCGTTGAATCAGATTTGTATTCGCTCAAGCTATACTGCAGAATTGTGAGGAAACTTACTCAACTCTGCAACACAGAGCAGAATAAAGTGCAGCTAAGCTGTAAAAGCTAAGCTGTAAAATAATTAAGCAGAAATACATTTAAGAAAACCCAAGAAACTTAAAAATTCCATTTGATTAAAGACAATGTTAATAAAAAATTTTCAACAATTAATTTTATTTTTTACTTAAAGAAACAATTTCTAACAATCAACAATTATATTCAAGAATAGAAGAAACAGTTGGATATAAGTATTCTCAGAAAATAGCTATTCGTATTGTAGAACAAATTCAGGCAAAACTTAATCTAGAATTGGAAAGTAAAAGCGACAACAAAAAAGGTTACTAGTATTTTTTACAAAAGTTTAAGTTTAAAAAATTTTTTAAGAAGAAATAAACGAGGTTGCAGAGATTTTGAATGAAATGGGTATAATTGATAATGATAAAAAAGATATATCATCTAGCACGAATTCAAAAAAACGAAGCAAGAAAAATAGAAAGAAGAACCAAAATAAAAAGCATGTGGACAAGAATAAAGTGAATAACGGCAAAAATACTGCGCAATATCTCGAAAGTGATGTTGAGGACAAAACTAAAAATAACCAGAGTTTAAATAATAAAATAGGTGAAAGTTTTCAAGCGGATAGAAATTTTAATGAAGATAACGTTGAAAATGATGAAGATAATGAAGGTTGGGTTCTGAATAAAAAAGATGAGATGAAACAGAAGAGGGAAGAGAAGAAGAAAATGGAAGAGGAGGAAAAATTAAAATGGCTTAACAAATTGAAAGGAAAGGATATTGCAGATAAAATTTCATTTTCATTTAATAATATTAAGAAAATGAACTATAAGGAATATTATGATGCCGAGAAGAAGAAGAAGAATAATTTGAACAATGAAAGTATGATTGAAAATAAAATAAAAATAACTGAGGATTTGGAAAAAATAGACAACTCAAAGGAAATTAAAGATAGAAAACTATTTGTAAATCCAGCAATCAGTTTCAAGTCAATTCTTGATAAAAAGGATTCGAGAAATGTATTGTGTGAGAATAGTAAATTGAAGGAGGGAAATGAAGAAGACAAATGCGAAAAGGAAGATAAATCTAAAAATGATGAAAAGAAGGACAAGGCTCTTGTTTCTTCAAATAAAATTGCCAATTCATCAAAATTTTCTCCTTTTACTCCAATTAACTATTTAGAGGAAGATGCATTAAATGAAAGATACATGAGATTTATTTCAAGCAATGAAGATCCTAGAAAGATTATTCCTTCTCTGGACCTTGGAGTTATTGTTTATGAACTTAATAAACGTTTTAAGCACCTTCAAAAAATCAGAATGAAGAATAACTTTAGAGATAAAAATGTTAATTTGACTTTTGGAGAATTTCAAGGTACTGATTTAATATCAGCAGAAAATTTTCCCTTCTCAAATTTACTTAGAATAAATTTTATACTGAAGTTTTTATCCCCTGTTTGGTCAGTCAGAGATCAACTCTGGCTTATTTTTCAAGGTTGCCAATAGAAAGGGCTGGTGGATCCTGGAAATACCCAAATATTTGGATCCAGATCCGTTGCGTCAACGCCAACTGTAGTTAAAGATAGATAACTTAAAGCAGGAAAATTATTACTAATCAAAAATAAAAATAAAATATTTATTAAAGTAAAAGTCGACAAACAGAATGTTGATGATTGCTCATTATTCAAGTTGGTCTTAAAATTGGAAAACGAATTTAACGAAACCATTTACAACGAAAATTCCATTGTAAATGACATGGAAAAATTAACGAAGTTGGAAAAGAGATTCCATTCATTGTTAAAAGAATTATCAATGATTATGGATGACTGGATTGATCTACAAAAAGAAACCAATCAAAAATTAATAGATGAAGAAATTAAGGCAGTTAAAATAAAGTTGCATAAGCAAAGGTAATTATCATAAATAAACTTTAAAGAAATTTTAAAAATGTTGAAATTTTACTAAAATGAATGTTAATATTAGGGTTCAACCCCACCCCGGGGAAAGTAATTTTCCGGGGAATGGGGGGAGGTCTCACTCCAGAGCACCTGTTCCCCATCACCGCAGTTGAAAAAAATTCAAAGGGGGGGGGCGAGGGGGGGGGGGGGTAAATTAAAAACACTATTCCAGCTATAAATAAATTTTTTAAAGGCTTGCAAATATAAATTCTAATCGCCAATGGAATTTAATGAAGCAAAAGAAACAAAAAAGAATATTATTTTCACTGCTAAATAATACAAATGTTAACGAATTTACTGATTATTTAAATAATTATGAAATTAAAAGGTTGCAGAAAGTGTTAATAAGTTAGTTGATTAATTTTTAAAAAATTCTAAAAATATTCTCTAAAAATTTAGCATCAACTGAAAATAATTTAATAGATTTTCCAATTTTTGATGAATTGCCTTATTTTTATGTTCAGAAGGAATTTGCAAGAAATATTGTATATACATATGTTAAAAATTTTTTTATAAAAATTGAAAAATCGTAGTTTTATGAAAACCAGATTGTACTATAATCAAAGAAATTATAATTTCCAATGGATTCTTTTAATCTTTTTCGAAAAATAAATATAAGTTATCCCGAAATGCAAAAGTCTACTTACGAATATCTTTAAGATTTTAAAACCTTATACGAAAAACAAGATTTAAGTTTTTCTGAAACAATGCCGGATAATTTCTCCTAGATTTCTCATAGATTCGCGATTAATTAATTATTTGTTTAGCTTAATGAACAACTGAACAATTCAACCACCGTTAAAAATAAAGATAGATCTTCTCAAGAAATAGTAAAGATAGTTTCAATTATTTCAAAATGGGCTAAATCCAAAAATTGTCATCTGATTGAATTTTTATTGAGCGGCTCTCGAAAATTAAAAACAGAAACTATTGACTCGGATGTTGATGCTATTGTTGTATTGCATAAAAAGAAAAATGATAATTGTAAAATAAATGGATTAAATAATTTTTACGGAAATCCAGATTTTGATTTATGCCAACCTTTTGTTGAACAGATAAAATGCAGTGATAATTCACTTTATTGTTATTTATGCAATGTAAAGTATTTTTTAGAGATTAATATAGGAATAAAATTGTATTTCCGGAAGAGTGTTTAAACTCATCCTAAAATTCGGAGAGTGTTTGGAAACTCATCCTAAAATTTTTGTTGTTTTCCCTATCATGGATTTTTATCCGGAACCAAACTTTTAAATTCTCATTTCTACAGTTCGGTCCAGAACCTAAAACCTTACAAATACGATCTAATTATAAAATTTAGAATTATTCAATCAAAAAGCTTCACAAAATCATGCATACCCGCATTAAAATAATAAAATTTAATACAAATGGAATTAATTTTGACATTTCCTTTATAATAATTGATGAAATTCAATTAGAAACATTAAAAAATACTTTTCCATTAAATCGATTAAATAATCAAGAATTTGAGGAAATAATAGAACATAAGAGACAAAAATCCAAAAATTTGTACAAACCCGAAGATTTGTCTGGAATTGAAAGCGAAATATATTCGCTTGCTTCGTTTAATTCAAATAATATTATGTTGAAATTTATAGAAATGACTGGTAATGTGAATAAATTTCAATTATTTGCGAGGACGATTAAGAAATGGGCTAAAAGTAAGTTTAGTTTGTTAATTTTCTCGATACGTTAAATAATAATTTATTTTATCAAAAAGAAGATAAAATATTAAGATTCACAAATGAAATTAAGATCAGATATAAAGATAAGATTTTAACCCTAATAGGATCAGAGTTAAAATTAGGGTTGTTACTATCGGTTATTAATCTGTACACACGGTTTTCGGTTAACCGACAGTGAACAACCTTGTTTAACCGTGAAAATTTCAGTCGTTTAGAGGAATTTCTTGAATCCCGAAATCACCAAAAATTACAGATCAAATATTTTTTGAACGATCAGAATGTACTCATTTTTTGATATAAATTTTAAAAATTTATTTAAAAATAAGCCCACTATAACCTCTACTGTAAGTTATTCATTTCTATTTCAGATCATTTCATTTATGACGGTCAATTTGGATTTCTAAATGGTGCAACATTGAATGTGCTAGTTATTAAAGTATTATTGCTATATTTCGATTCATCATTGCTTTATTTGTTACAAAAATTTTTTCAAACATATTTGGAATGGTTAGATAATTTATTTAGGTTAATTAAATATCGCTTATTAATTTTAGGGATTGGCAAAATATTGTAAGTTTAGATGAATTATCAAATAAACCGCTCAGCTGGAGTTCTGAGGAAGAACTTAATAAAAGAAAAGGATTATATCTCGGTAAAAAGTTTGGGATATCAGAGAAGGAAATGAAAAGATTAGAAAATCATGCAAATCTGATAATGGTTGTTTTAACACCTGGTTATCCAAAACAAAATTGTTCATTTAATGTTAATTATTCAACTAAACAAATAATTCAAAAGGAGTTGGAAATTGGTAAAATTTCTCGTGATGAATAATAAAAAGATTTCTAAACGAATCCCAACGATTATAGATGAAAAATAGAGAGTCACTTGGGAAAATAGAGGTTGGACTCGCCGTGATAGAAACTTTCAGTATCTGAGTTATCGGGGGTCAAGATTTTAGGGGCGATTTACATCACACGTTCAATGGATTTGTAAATGTCTAATAATTTTAATTTTTTCCTCTTGATCATTATAGAATAATTTAGGTAATAATATGCTAATAAATGCAAAAAATACGTACGAAGAAATAAGTTTAATTAATAATTGGAAGAAGTGGCTAAATGGAGCAAATTTTTTAGATAAGGTCAGGAATTAAACAAAAAATATTTTTAAATATTTTTTATAGTATAAACATTATTTGTTAATTTTGTGCATTTCAACCCATTATAATTTGAAGGAAAATGTAAATTATTGTAATTATGTAGAGAGTCGAATTCGTTTAGAATTGGTGTTCTCAATAGAGGATGATAATTTGATTAAATATGCACATGCTTTTGGTAAAGAAAATTGGTTGCCAAATAAAATAAAACAAAAATATGGGTAAAAATTATTTTTAGGGCTTTAGTTATATTAAGTTTATTTCATGCTAGAAACTTTAGGTCTGATACTCAACGTTTGAGGATGATAAATTAAAGGGCGGGTATTGTCTCAAATGAGAACATTGAGATCAGAGTCGTCTTGATTCTAAATTTCAGGGTCTGAGTTTTTATCAACGCAAAGAGTATCATGGCTGAGATATAAAAATGAAAATTTAAATATAATAACAAAATAAATTTTTATTTATTAAAATTATTATTTTGCAGAGGACATATTATCCAGCACTGGTGGATAGGAATTGAAACATATGAACAAATAAACCAAATAGAAATCCATAACAGCAGTGAAGCAAATATTTTGAAAAATTTTGTTGATAGAATTCAGACAAGCATCCCAATTGCTTTGAGTAAGTCTGAGGGATGGTTAGAGATGGTTTACTACAATAAAGAGAATGACAAAAATATATTTAAAAATTACTGATAAATAAATAATATATAAATTAAATTAATTTTATAGTAAAGAAGATCGGATTTTTAGGGTGTAGGATATAAATAAGTTGCAAAAATGCTAAAATAGTTGACAAATTTAAAATGATTTTTAAAAAACGGTTGCATAGGAGGCAAAAAAGATTCAAAATATCTTCTACTTTCTTTTCAGAAATTCATTATAAAACAATAATTTTATAAAAATTTCCATTTTTTAAATTTTTAATAAAATAAATAATTCAAATTAATTATTTATTTCAAAACTAAAATATAATAAGGCTGAAAAAATTGCGATATTTATGAGATTAATAATTTAATATTTTTGATTCAGTTTGTTTATTATTTTTGCCTATTAAGTATATAATTTTCCATTTTTGTTTGTTTTGTATATTTAATTTTATCATTTGTGCGCCTTTAAAAAATTTAATTTTCAATGTTTTTATTAAATCGGTGTGATAAATATTTGAGATTTTTATTGTTTAATCGGGGTATAGAGATAAGATGGATCAATTCTTAATAGTAAAACATATAGAAGTTAAATACTCAATCAATAGATGTTTTCACCAATTAATTGTTAATTTTGAATAAATCTTCAATCCAGTATTGTGAGTTTCTATCCGCTCTTATTTATCTCAATCTTTATCTTTAAAATATATAGGTAAACGCCTCAAAATCTATGTTAAGTTTCTTTAAAAAATATTTTCGATCCCTTATGGGTGATTTGATTTTTTATTTTGAGCTTATCGGAGAGACCTTGAAATTCTCAATAAGCTACACTGCTCCACATAATTATAAGTCCACCCATTTTTTTCGGGATTTTTTGACTCCCAGTGATCCAAATTTTTTGAAAATTTAGAAACACGCCTTTTAGTGAATAACTAACAAGGTGTGATTCGATTTTTGGCTGAATTTTTATTTAAAAAATTTTTAGACCAAAATATGTGTTTTCGGCCTCCACAAAATTATAAGTCCACTTTTCAAAAAAG